ATAAAACTGTAAGGAATTTTCATTGGAATTTTGTCTAAGTGAGCCTGAATCAGAAATTAAACTGCTTTCGTTTCTCTGATCACCGAAATGTGTGATCAACAAGTCTTTAATGGTTGGCCAATTATAAGTGCCACTAAGAGAGAATACTTCTTCGGCCGGCCCGGTGAGCTTGGAAAGTACACTATGTAGTAAAATTTTGTTTTGAGAACAATTTTCAAATCCTGGCCGTACATCGTAATATTCATTCAATAAATCACTGACCGTTTGGAGGTACCTGTTGAGTCTACAGGGATTTCCATCGAATTCAGGAACAATTTGTAGTAGTTTCATATCGAATACGTTTGGTGGGTTTGGCATGTTTAATGAGATTGATTCTATAGATTTTTTGATTGATTCCGATTGAGACTGATTGTTAAGGTTCAAGGATTGTAAAGATTGACTAAGAGTTTCTTCTAGTTCCGCACTGATACCACTAGTAATTTCTGATTCGGATTCAGGATCAGAGGAAATCAATGACATAAGGAAATAGCGAATGAATATGAGGAATCAATGAGTGACTTACATGAAGTTCCAATTTTTCATTCTTCTTCGATGGTTGCCAAGAGTTACTGGATCCTCGATGGACGGCTTCTCTGGTACTTCTCGATCACTGGTTCTTCTCGATGAAGAGTTGATACCCAAGGATATCTACGATAGATGCCGTCGAGTATCCTACCGACTGCGCCACTTAAGTTTTTTGGAAAACGAAAAACGTTTTTAAAAAACAAGATTTACTTTTTATTTAACACAACCGATTCGTATGAACCTTACAATCAGAATGAATTAGTTGAATGACATGAATATGTGAGAAACCTGGAAATGCATATCGAATGAATTTTGTCGAGTCGGGTAAACTGCAGCGTCTGCATCTTCGGGTTGCGAGCGGCTGGTTCAACGACATAACTCGTGCCACCACTCACCACCACGGAGTGACAATTCCTCACTTGAAATGACAAACGTTCAGAAATTCCAAACCAAAGTACGTTGGGAATTTTGGCTCGTCCGAAACACTATACATGTGGACATGGTTTAGCGTTGTGATGGTGATTTCAGGCAACCTTCCAAAATCCTCGACACGTCGATTATAAAATACTCGATACATGGAGAAACTACAGCTGTTGGATACATCGAAAGCATTTGACCGTGTTATTGGCACCAAGAACTTTTTCACAATCTCCCCTATAATGGCTCACGACCTCATCTATGCCTCCTTCCATCAAGTTTTCCAGACAGATCGCTTCATGTGGTGGTGGACGCAGTATCGTCCATAGTTAGTACCATATTTACCATTTTGGGTGTGCTACAAGGATACATTCTGGCACCAACTCTGGCATCAACATTGATCCATCTGCCCTATACATGCAGCTCCGATGATAAGAGTATTCTCCATACTGCCTCCTTCAACGAAATCTCCTTTCCATCCGAGGAAACTAGGAATCTACGACAAAGGAGGTCAACGCTGTCCACCGAAGATCTTGCTGAAATTATAGACTGGGGAAACAACAACCTGTTTTGATAAAGGCCAACAAAACTCAGGACTGTATTTCCGCTATCTTAGCCAAACTCACTATACCTGAAAAAACATTAAGTCCACTATATCAATGGTTATTTCCAAAGGTAAAACTCTTTGATGAGAACATCATATCACAATCAATCTCTGAGACTGTTTCACCTCTATAGCTCCCTATAGGCTACAGTATGCATTGACATTATTTTTGGAATACTATAGTAAAATCGGCGACTTTCAGTCGTCAACCTCCAGAAGCTTTGGAATTCTTGGCCAAACGAGGTATTCCCATAAGCACCTACTACCCCCCATCCTTCTCAGGTTCGCAGAATATTCCTCGAGGATAGATATTGGTGGAGTTCCGATATTACTGAATTTACTGGTGACAGTCAGTTAAATCGGATCGATTTGGGTTTTAGTAAACTACTATTACTGTGGAATAACGAACCGAATATCTAGCAGTGTTGGAAGGATTCATCGTTGTTGAATAATGAATTTATTCAACTCTAGTTCTATGTATACATATAAACCTACTAGTTCATTAGAAAAATATGGATGATCTCGGTCTAGCTGTTACCGCTGGGTTCTTTTATTATTCGTCTGTTAAATATAATATTGCTGATGGTATATGCAGTAGGTCTAGTACTTCTAGTAGTAGTGCAGGGATTTTATATCTATACCATAAATATGAGACGTCAGGTTATTCCTCGCCCAAGGATATCAAATTTCATCAACCACTTCAATTTCGAAGTCACCCAAAACTACCCGAAACATTTTCATAACATCAGACGATGAATTCTTGTTCATTGAATGGTTTTTGGTTCGAAATAACAAAATTATTTATATTTCTGAAAATCACTATCAACAATCCAAGAACTATTAGCACATGAAATCTAATAATAACAATCTTTATAACCACACTTTTCAGTTTTTTTTGGAGGAGAGGGATATTACTGGCGCCCCGTGACAATTTGATGTCAGTAGCGAACAGTGAATTTCTAGCCTTGCACAGGGTTCATTAACAGAACGCAAGAAAATGCTGCCAGCAGATAACAGTAATTTCGGAACAGTCTAGACTTCTGAACAGTACTGGTTGGGAATATCGGAACTCGACCATAATGGGGATTTCCTTCAATTTATTATGGCCATTATCTGATATTGCTGACATTACTGTCAACTGTAAGCAATTTCGGAACACTTAACAGTAGCAGTAGTTTCGGAACCATTTTGCCAGTACTGGTACACTGGCAACAAAACAGCTGTGTAATATTTCAAGATATCAAAAATGGAAATAACAAACCATCTTGTAGATTACATTAGTGGCAGTTTCACCGTCAACAGCCTCGTGAGATCATCCAGAGTTCGAATAAAAAGTATTTGTGAAATAATAATAATAATACAGTTTCAATCGACTCATACCTAATAATTTGAACGCTTTACCTAACATTTCATGAATACTGGCACCACATCACCATTTCTGTACCAGTGGCCTACAGTAAACATTCAGCTTCTAACAAGGCCCCTTGCAATGACCCGCGAAAACGTTGCCAGTCAATTTCAGTAAAATCGGAAAGATAAAATATACTGGGCAGTACTTTTCTGGAATATTTGAACATGCTCTTTATCTAATCATTCATCTTTCGTCTGAATGTTTGCCACCTCCCTAAATATAATTCTTCGAGAGAATCGCTGGGTACATGTATACTAACTATTTCACCAATTATATTGTTTGGTCGATAATTTTCAGTAAACAAAAAAATATTTGATCATTAGTGGAGTAGTCGCTGGTAAACACGACTTCCTTCTTTTATCAGCGAATAAACTATAGGTCGCCCTCTAAACGTGTTCAGCAAATTGATTTTGATTGATTGGTGAGGTAGTTATATAATATATGAAAAAATGATTTGAAGAAATTACTCGACAATAATTTTTTTTTATTTCGAAACTATTTCGTTATATAGGATCAGGGAGGTAAATCACTTATGGCGTCAATGCCATACTGGCGTCACAACAGCTACAATACTGAAAAGGAATATTCTCAGATGAATTATGAACATGAAAAAGTGAATATATACATATAAAGAAATACATTGAGAATTCGCATTCTCTATGTGATGAAAATTATTTCTCGGTTTATTCAACAGAAAACAACTACTTTCCTCAGCTATATGCCACGACGATCATTGGATTATATCTATTCAACACACACAATAAGAATTTGCAAAATCTTGGATTATATCTATTCAACACACACAATAAGAATTTGCAAAATCTTATGAAGTTGAGAATTTGTATTCTCCTTCAGGTAAAATATGGATGCACATGATATCATTCTGAATATTCAACAGAAAACAACTACTTTCCTGGATATTTGCCACGTCGAACATTGAATTATATCTGTTGAACATCAAAAAGGAGAGCATGAAAAATAAAAATCCTCTGGAATTGAGAATTGACATTCTCTCTCAAATCGAATAATTATAATGATTTTTTATGATTTGGAAATATAACATACCAATTTGTTCAGTATTGAAATGAAAATTGAAATCTATAGGAGAAGTATACTTGTACAAACTATGATCTTGATGAAACTTCCATAAAAATCATTCGTATCAGAGGTACTTATGGGAATTATATCTGTCACAAACAGATTATATGAATTTGGATGAACTCATTTCGGATTTCGAACCCTCCTCGGTAACATGAAGTCCAGTTATTCTTTCAGCTATTCTTCATGATATAGACAATTTTCAGCTCTAAGTAAAAGTAAAACGAAGTGAATCTGAGAATTATTTTTCAACATTTGATCCCTGTCATCTGATTGTTTTTGTTTTTGGATGTAGGACAAATTGATATTCATCATACAGGACGTGAGAAAAAATCTGAATAGAGAAAGCCTAATCGTTCAAGTTTGAACCCCTCGATTGGGTGAAAGTATTGAAAAGAAATATTCTCAAATGAATCATGAACATGAAAAAATGGATATATGCATATGAAGAAATACATTGAAAATTTGCATTCTCTCATCTCATGTGATGGAAATATCAATTCTTGGTTTCTTCTTCTGAAGTTGAGAATTTGTTTTTGAATGTATGACAAATTGATATTCATCATACAGGACGTAGAAAGAGATTTTGAATTGAGAAAACCTAATCACGAATCTGCAATTAGAGGTCTATAATAATAGATAAAAATATGTATATGAACATAATATCACTCTGGATATTCAACCTTTGATAGCAGATTCGGTTTCCTCAATACTGAATTCTATTCCACGTCCTGTATGATGAATATAAATTCGTCATACACCCAAAAACAGAAAGCTACCATACTACTTCAAAAAATTAAATAATCTAGTACTTAATACTCGAATCTAGTACGGAAATGAGTTCAATTCTAGTACAATAAGTTGTAACCCAGCACCAGCACCATCACTGACGTGTTGTTCATTTGTTTTTTTTTCAGTGATTCCCTGGCGAAACTGTGCGAACTGAGGAACATCGATTTATCGACTTGCGACGCCAGATTACAAGATAAGGAAACTAATGTGGAAAGTTTCATTTCGTTCTCCCAGGATACTGCTAATCTTGTCGGCAGGCACGTCAGGATAACAGGTGAGAATATTGTGAGAGAAACCGAGTTGTTTGGAGCTTTGGTGGATTTGAAAGGATTTCTCCTTCAGCTACCAAACACTTCTTTGTGTGTCAAAATACCGTTACTTCATTGAGTTAAAGTGTGAAAAAAGTATGTTCCCACATAGTTGTTGCTACAGGCAACAAACGATTTAGTGCACGAAAATAAACCATTGTAGTTTCGAGTTTGCACGCTTGGTAATCGCATCGGGCACAATAAAAGTTTCTCTGAATAGTTTTCTATACTTTCTACACTTTCAACAGTATAAACCAGTTCCTTCAAGTGTATATTCGGTTCATTAACGACTGTCGATATATACAGGAAATATTTCATGAGTTAACGCTATCTAGAAGTGGTTGGGATTCATCTATAAGCTGTAGGTCCAGCTCTTCCTAACCGCGCACAAGTTACGAATTCTGGGAAGTTAGTTCCCAACTTCGAAGAAGGGATATACAAATTATACAAAAAATAATTATCTACAAGGTGTATCCGAAATTAGGGCGATCTAACCTAACCTAACCTAACCGCGCACAAGATACGACTTCTGGGGAGTTGGTTCCCAACTTCGAAGAAGGGATATACAAATTATACAAAAAATAATTATCTACAAGGTGTATCCGAAATTAGGGCGATATATAAAATTGATAATAGAAGACGAGAAAACAAAACGAAATAGAATAATACAATTTTGTCGAAAAAAAAAATTTTGGGAGATATTGAGCTTCAAAGTTAGCCTGAAACTTTTGTAAATCATAGATCAGAGATAAGAAGTACAACCCATGAGTTTGCTTTGGCGAGATCACAAGCACCGGACGTATCAATGACTTTTGCAATGTTGCCAGACGTTCAATAATAGTTCAAAGATGTAGTATGGTGAATACGCACATTTTTTTAAAAGAGAGTCTGACTGCAAAATTTGATGAAAAATACAACATGTTTTATTTTTTATTCATTTTATGTTGAAGCGCTTGCGCATAACGCCGTTATTCAACTTTCGAATTTTTTGTTGTGTTTTGAAGTGAGAAACAAGCTTTTGGGGTTATGGTAATGTCACTTCTTTGGTATTTTGAGCAAGTAATGTAATATAAATAACAAATAATATATGTCCACTGATTAAATCAACTGTTATCTCAAATTGAAATAACGTCAGTCCTATAATGGTTTGGTCTTTGGAGCATTTATTTGTTGGTGCTTTAGTTGAAGAATATCAAAAATATCCCTGTTTGTTTGCAATCAAACACCCAGAAACGCTTTGACGTGGCTTTGACATACTTTGACAATGATGAAATGTGGATTGAGTACCTACACCATTTCTGGTGAAATATATTCTCGCATATTTGTATCTTTTTTAAAATTTTCTGATTGGCGGAGTTACTCTATGTATATCCACGTAGATTCGAAATTATTCAAGGTAGCTTAACTCAATTGAACGTTTTGATTGGTTCAAAATCATACGAAGAAAATAATCGAGATTTTCTTCATTGATCAACCCGATATCTCCCTTCGCTCTTCACTGTTATTATTATCACAATATAAGCTCCTCATTAGGTGATCTTCCTGATGGTTAAACATCTCAAAATTCAATTTAAATGGCATGATACGATATTTTCCGAGAGTTTATTGCAAACTCCAAATGATTACCGTGTCACGAAAAGGCACGTGGAGTTATGTTTTCATATTTCAGTTCATTTTAGAACTTCATCTGTCTGTTTAACGAGATATACGAGCTCGAAAAATCATACAATGCAGTTCATCACGGAATTCGTTTTCACTTCATCTGGAGTATCCTCATTTTCTGAACTCTGACTTCCCCTTGAATTTTCTCATCAGTGATACGAATTATGAATTTTAAATTTCATGCCTCTGCAGAAGGTGGTTTCGTTACGAGATATTTTGGAGTTCGAATGCACAAAACATAATGCGTATAGGGAAAAATTGTTATGTGATTGTGAGCAGCATGAATAATTATTAGAAGTAAAATGCAGGTGGTATGGAAAAACAATCAGGTGATAGTGAGAGGAGGAAGAAATAATGAAGTTTTCACTTCAATAACACGTGCCTTTCAATCGGGTTATCCTGCGGACTCGTGATGTTTTCTCGATGTTGATGTTGATATAAAAATGATTTCTTCAAGATGCGATACAAATTGAAATTCAGTGCCTATGACGATTCTGTCTGAAGTTTACTGTTGAGTTCTATTTATCTCTGAATATGAAGATATTATGACATTCAATATACATTTTCATGACAGCATGCGCCTTTGAGTGATTTTGTTTTATATTTTGATCAAACTACCAATGAGGAAGCGAAATACAAAATCTCAAACGCAGACCCCAATAAACCTAGCAAAACCACTTCAATATTTCAGTTTTGAAATGGTTTTATAATTTGTTACTAATTTATCGTTATATTCGCGAATTTATTTCTCTCCATTTATTACTAATTCATCAACACACTCGCAAATTTATAATTCCTAGGTTTATTTCAGCTGATAATTCATTGTTTTCGAAAACTTCGAAGATACCCGAGAAGACCATAATTTATTACCAATTTATTACTAACCCATAAATACAATCACCTAATTTTCACTCATCATTCGATGAAAAAAGAAGCTGATTATAGTCTATCTCGATCTCAGAGAGAATGCATTTAAGGACATACGTTTATAGAAACTTTTCAACTCAAAATGAGTTTAGGAATCCGTATACGAAGTGTTTCGGAATTTCCAAAAACATGCCATTCGAGTATTGGTTCTGCTAGGTTGAGATAAAAATAGATGAATCGGCGATTACCTTCTCCAAAGGGAAAGTGACAGAATCGTTATTGTGATAATAACTTATCAATAGCATAAATAGTAATAATACATTAATTGAATGGAATTTCCATGAACATATCATTCGAGTTTCGGTTCTGCTAGGTTGTGAAAGAAATAGACGAATCGACAATTTTCTTCTCCAAATGAAATGTGGCATATCGTTATTGTAATAATAGATAGGTAATAAAATAGTTGAGCATAAATTATGGTATAACCAACGTAGGTGATCCATCACTAACAGTGGAGGTGATATAAAACCAGGAGCGGTGAAAAAACTCATAGTCATAACTCCACCAGATAAACAATTCAATAATGACCAACGGTCATGGAAATAAGGACTTTTTCATAGGATTAATCCTTTATCATCAGCAAATTCAAAAGAAGAAGAACATCTGATGTAAGGAGAAACAACGCTTATGTTAGTTTTCAAGTATTGTTGAAAAAATCTAAATATACCTAACATTATTGGTGGAAAAAGATTACTTAAATAACATCGAATAACATGAAAAAAATATTTTTGACCGCGCATAGTAACTGATAGGGAACAGACATTATAACAGCTCTGAGGCCTAATTTCCAAAAATTGTTTGATATAAAGCAAATATTTGAATGAACCAACATGTGGGACTGAATTTGTTGAATTAGGTTAACTAATCACAAATGACAATTGACAATAATGACGCTGAGGACAAAACACATCATCAGAATGACACTCGTCGAGTCAAAACCAAGGAATTAAAACATTCCTTGGTTTTATCATTATTGTCAATTGTCATTTGTCGATTGTCATTTGTGATTAGTTAACCTAATCCAACAAATTCAGTCCCACATGTTGGTTCATTCTAATATTTGCCTTAGATCAAACAATTTTTGAAAATTATGCTCTTATAGAACTGTTATAATGTCTCTTCCCTAACAGCTACCCACCCGCACTATGCGCGGTTAAAAATAGTTTTTTCATGTTATTTAAGTAATCTTTTTCAACAGTGGCGGATCTACGATTTCTGGGGCCCTAAGCTTGATAATTCTTGGGGCCCTTGTGGCCCCTACCCATCATTTTTTCTCCTCCTGTTATTTCTTCTCACCAATTTTCTCATCTAACATTTTCTGACCAAATAGAAGCGAAAAATGCATGATGAAAATATATAGGATATAAGGAAAAAAGTGCATTCATTGATATGGTTTAGGATATAATAACAAATAAAAAAAAATGAGACACATGAAACAAAATGAACGTAACTATAACACTGACTAGGATCAGATACGTTCGAAATAAAAGAACTAAACCGTAACGAAATTACTAGGAGAAACATACTACGATATCACTTCCAATTTTCTGATTCACGAATCTGCGAATACTTTCATTGCACCATCATAAATCGAACTGCTCATCAAATCACTTCCGATGGAAGGCATTCTCAAAGTTTGTTATGTTCTCTTCGGAATGAGGTACACAATTTGATTTGATTATTGATAATTTTGAAAATAAACGCTCTCCTCCGCAATTGGTCACTGATGGCAGTGTTGAAAACAAGTTCAATGTAGTATTTTTGCATTGAAATACACGTCCATCATTCCTTCAGTTTATAGGGTCCCGCCGATTTCATAGGAACATTATTACTATTTCCTCAACGGTATACGTTTTGCAGATGAAAAAAATTGCCGTTCCTGAAAAATTGGAATGAAAAAACAGAAAATCATTTTGTTTTTACTGTTGATATTTTATCTAAATCGAAACGGCACATGTTTTTTTTTTTTTCAGTTTGCAAAATGCCATATCGAGGAAGTTATTGAACTTTTGTCGGATTTAAGCAACTTTCTTTCCCTTAACCGACCCACTGTCGCTATGAGATCGGCAGGACCCTGCTTATGGTTTTCAACATTTTTGGAATGTTGCCGCTGCTTCTAGGTATATAAAATAAATACCTATTGCTCAAGAGAGAAATTCATTTCAATCACTATTCCATCTATACAAACGAATGATATGGGAAAATAGTCATGCAATGCCAGGGCCCCTCGGGGGCCCCTGCAAGGGTCGGGGCCCTAAGCTTGAGCATACTAAGCGTACCGGTAAATCCGCCACTGTTTTCCAACCAATAACGGTATAGGTTTATTGAGATTTATTCATCAATATATACTCTAAAACTAACATAAGCGTTGTTTCTT